GTGTAATTAATCCAGGTTTAAGATGTTTTACAACTGAAAATGTATGATTCAATTAATAGATTGTATTTTTATTTTGAAATGGACAAAGCGTATAGACATATGCTTTTAGATCTATACTAATGCATTGATACAGTATCACACTGTATATGCACATTGTAGAAGTTCTTATTTCTTTCTTCATGGAACTTCAAGCATCTGCCATTATGTAATGATGATACCTTACATGGTCAAGAGTCTTATCTTCTTGATAAGCAGCTGGTTGATGTGTCGGGTCTAATCCTTCCTCTGACTAGACTGCTCTGAGAAGTACCTTTATAAATGTCCTCCCCCTATGAGTTCATTTTAGTCCTCTTATGTCTATTGCATATATCATATGAGGAATACATTTTGCATGTCATGCAACCTAACAATAGCTTTTTAGCTTTAACATTTAGCACAGGCACAGTATCAGAGTCCTGGTGAAGAAAATAATTATTAGACCGAAGGATTTGATAAAAACTCTGTTCCTAAGAGTTCATCTTAAAACATTGTCACAAAACACCAAAAAAAATAATGTAAGAGTAGATGACCCCTAAAAATATACTTTAATGTTGAATAGTTTATATTTTTTAAAGGGCGTCATTATTTACGATTTTTTTTTTTTTTTTTAGGTTTGATCACTTTTAAGTATGAAACAGCAGGTTTTTTTATCAATCTGGTCATACGTTTATATCTTCCCAGGTCACAATACACGCGCCTGTGCATATATATTAGATGATGACTTCAGGTTTACTCCTTGTATCTGGTAAAATAAATCGGTAAGATTAGTTAATTGACTATTATTAATTGTCTTGTGTATCTTTGGGCAAGTACAGAGTTCTTTTCTTTTTGGGTGTGTTACAAGTTTCAACCTTTAAACTGGGCCTAGCCTCCAGGTCACAATGAGAATGGTTACTGCCTATAAAGTACACATCTTTTGTTAAGTATTTAGGATGGCTAAACCTGGATTAAATTCTTTTTGGACGACTTACGCCCTTTGATGCTTTGCATTCAATGGCTTTTCCTGTTGAGTCATATTTTGGAATTTCCCTTAGACTTTTATTGATTTGAAATGAAATAGTAGGGCAAGTATGTGTAATATGATTGTTTTTGGTAATTCAAATTCTTTAGTTTAAAGCATAGTTATCTTTATCCCAAATGTGTGTTATTTTGGAACATACACGACACTTGATGTAATCCTTACTATGACTTTAGTTTGATTATAAATGTGCTCGAATAACCTCTATGTAAATTTGTAAATATAGTTTATTCCATTGACCGTTGCAAACAACAGCTCTTTCATACGCTACCTTATCCTTCATTTAATTGTCTAGGTTTTACTGTGATATATTTTATCAGGTTCTCCAGGTTAATATATCAATATTTTTCGCCTAATACTCCTTGAGATATTTTATTACCGCTTTATAATTTTTTTAAAATAAACCTTTCGAGAGGACATGGACTGTAGCATTGCAGGTGTAATAGTACTCCGGACAGGCGAAAGCTGCTTTTTGTGTTCGCCTCACCAGGCGGAATTGACCTCATAGCATAGACTGATTAAACATTTCACTGGAATATATATGCAAGTCGGAATTTTCTACATCAAATCTAAGTTTAATAACTGCAGTAATATGTAGCTTTTTTAGGCACTCTTTCTACACTTTTTAAACAGTACACTGAGTAGCGCGATAAATGTTGGGTAGTACAAATGTGTACCTCAACTGAACAAGAAGCCGTGAAGATTCAGTGTTTAGTTGGGGTTATACAATGTACAATTTCAACACACTAACCACGATGCGTAATCGTTTCGTGCTGATTGGGAATAGTTTCTTTCCGTTTCTGAACTGATTTGGGATTATTTTGGGCACTATTGTTGATTAAAATAAAATTAGTGTTTAAAGTTGGAGAAGGCAAGAAATATATAATAAATAACACATTACATAGTACTAGTCTTTGAATATTGTCTTTACTTTGCACGATATTGCAGTGTTAAAGGAATCAGAATAATAAAAAATTCTACTTATATAATAAGGTGTATGTTAATGGTCTTTTATGGGTTGGAAATATCACATAATAGTTATGTTAAATATAATTAATTCTAAGTAAGGTATTGTTAACTTATTTATAAACTATTAATGTACTTCATTAAACAAAAGATTACAAGTTGCCGAATCTAGTTAGAAACTCAAATATAATAAATCAGGCAAAAAGAGACCATACGTAACATTAATTCTTTCAAAAAGAATTCATATTGGCAAATACCTATTGTAGAAAATTTTAAAGTCAAAAACGTACTTTTTACCCACATTTTAATATGTTTCATAACTGTATAAACTCGTTATAATACCATGAGAAATATTCTATGAGTAAGCACCACGTTGCCTGTTTTGTCAGAAGTAATAACTCTATGACCATGACGCTTGAGTAGCGCCAATAAGAATCTCCGTCGCGTATTTAAGTCATACCCCGTGTTCCCTGTCCGAATTTGGTTCCCGTGCTGAAATTTTTAACGGTTGAGAGAGACCCGCCTCTCTGATAATTGGCTTTTTTTCAGGCTTTGTAACTTGCAATTCAATGATTCATCCTAATTTTGTAAGGAAATGATATTGATTATAGTTGCCCTGGTTTCCTTCCCTCCGTCAACGAAGTAAATGCTAGCATACAGAGCATCATATTAAATTTGGCGACAATTTAAAGCGGAGCCGTACTTCAACAGAGGCGGTGCAAATGAAGTGAGTTACCTCTTTCAACCGTTATGTTTTATAACGATAGACTATAGACTGGCTTATTTTCATGTAATTTATTAGGATAATACAATTAGATAATGATAAAAAGAATATGATATTCAAACAAGGCACTATCACTTCAGTTAAACGTTTATTTTAATTCCTTAAGGCTCGATGACATTTTGGACATTAAAAAAGAAGCTATTTTTATAAAAAAAATGAAAACATTGTGATTTTGTTAAAAAATACACAGAAGCAAGACAAAAATTTTCCCCATTGCTGAATACACGCACGTGGCGTCTTATAATTGAACATATGACGCACATATAGAACACGATAAGATAAGATGAGAAAAGATCAGGAATAAGGAAATTTATTTATTATAAATCAATGATGTGATACATGTGAATTCAGAGCAACTGTATCTACATCCAGACCGATAGACATATGAGTCATCAAGTCACCTTATATTGACAAATATCAACAGGTTCTCATTATTACTGCGGAAATGGAATTATGGTTATTGTAAATGTACATGTATATAATTTTATTATATACGAGTGTTTTTTTTTAGCAATAAACTCAGATCAATATTGTTCTTACTTTATCATGTTACTAGGCCATTTGATTAGTAAGGATATTGTATTCAATGCCATTATAATGCCTTTTTATTCGATTCGCGTTATTACGCCTTATGGTTCGCGTAGTTAAGTTTCTTTTGATTCGCGTAATAATGCCTTAATACGCTTTACTACACTTTTTGTTTCGCGTAATTACGCAATTTGATTCGCGCTATAACGCCTTTATTGGCATTACAACCCTTTTGATTGGCGTTATTACGCCTTTGTTTCGCGTTGTAACGCATTTGTTTGCGTTATTTCGCCTTTTGATTAGCGGTATAATGCCTTTGCTCGCGTTTTTACGCCCTTTTGATCCGCTTAATAACGCCTTTCAATTCGCGTTATAACGCCTTTTGTGTTGTATAATCACGTATTGCCAATATTATATTTTTTTTCATGTGATACTATATGGATTTCGTAATTACATTAGTAAATGTAAAATATGGCTTACACAGAAGCCCAATCAAAACTAACAACATCTTTTATAACAAATAATAATAGTGATATTTGTAACATTTATGGCAACAATAAAGCATCTTAGGCAACTGTGTAGATAGTGAAATCATACATTCAAAAATGGACACAATTCAATTATCGATTCATACAGTCCAGTTTATCGTGACAAAGATGCAAGACTCTGACTTTTTTAGTTAGCCCATATCGCATGGATATCATACATGTCATAAGGGTTAACCGATACGATTCTGAAGAATCAATTGAAAGTTAGGCGAATAACTACCGGATCATACCCAATGCTTAAGATCTAGCCAGTAGAAGGAGCGAGTTAGATACGCTCGAATGTTACTGTAAATGCCTTCTAGATATATCATTCGCCGTTTTAGCTCACTACAACCGAAAGTTCAGGGTGAGCTATTATTATCAAAGGGGGATGCTCCTGCGTCCGTTGTCTGTCGTCATGCGTCAACATTCACCTTCATCTCTGAAATTGGTCAGCAGATTTATTTCAAAATATGTCTGTAGCATCCTTGTGACAGTCACACTTAAATTTAGTCGTTTCATTCTAATTAGCCATTTTAAGGGATCAACAGAGCTAAACATAGATAAATCTCTTAACATCTTTTTCTACTGAAAAATTTGATGGATGATCACGAAACTTTGTCTGTAGCATTCTCAGGTAGTCTTTCATCACATTTGCTCATATTATTATGATTGGCTCCTTTTCGGGTTGAAGCTAAAATTGGAAAAAGCTCTACATATCTCTTCTATTGAACTTATTTGTGGCATTCTTATGCAGTCTTTTCTCAAAATTGATCACATTGATTAAATTTGCCCCTGCTAGGGACCGCTAAAGCTAAAAATAAATGAGACACCTGTTTCTACTGAACTAATCGATGGGTGATGACCAAACTTTGTTTGTAGCATTTTTATATTGTATGTTATCAAACTTGTTCAAAATAATTTGATCGGTCCCTTTTAGGGGCCTCTAGAGCATAAAAATATAAACGTCTGCTTCTACTGAATTAATTGATGGATGAACACCAAACCGTTTGAGCATTGTAAGGTAGTCTTTTATCAAATATGCTCATAATAATTGGTTTGACCCCTTTTAAGGACGGCAATTTTTTTTCCTTCTTTCTTTCTTTTTATCTATTTTTTTATATATTTATTTATTTTCAGATTGGAGCAGATTTGTGTTACATCTTGAAACAAAATGGAGGTAAGACTCCCTGACTTATATCCTGCATTGACAATTAACTAAATTGTAGATTGAAAAATAATTAGCTATACAGTGCTTTTCAAGCTATATTCTCATTAACAATGTATTAAAAATGCCATTTATTGATCCTTCGCCTTGAAGTATTTATTATATGTTTCGTCATAGCGAGTGTATATATTGGATGATCAGAAGCATCTTACTTATAAAATTGCATTTATTTTAATCACTTTAAGAGCTAACTAAAGACAAGGAATAATAGTTACATTTCATGTATTTAGTAATATACCCGATATGTTTAGTATATTAATCTTATTTTTAATTTATTACGTTGTAGAACTTATATCTGCTTTGATATTTTCCTACAAAAGGTGGTTCCTTCACCATGACCTTATTTGTTGTTAAACAACTGTTTTGTGTTCAGTTTCAATATCCAATACAGTATACATGTGAATGAAGACTGATTAAAGCGGCATGCATCCAGATGCTCCAAAATATTTCCATAAAATCAACCTTGAAACAATGTACTAAGATTTCAAAAAAAGTAGAAAAATGCAAGGTTCAAGTAAAATTTTACATAAAATAAAATACTATAATTACTGATTTTTCATTATTTTTTAACTATAGTCCTACTGCGTTACTAACGCAGTATGGGGGTATTTTTTGCATTTTTTTACCTCCTTTTGTAATTTACGTTGGTGGTAAGTACAGTTGATAACGTGTAAGTTGCTACCTTTTGGTAACTAAACAATATTATACCGTTAAATAAAATTTCAAAATTTTGAAAATAAGCATTAGTCTGGAGGCGTGCTGCTTTTAAGGCCATGCTGATTTTTGCTTTTCGTCATGAAATTGCAAATGTGGAATAAGGAAAAAAAACACACACACACAAAAAAAAAACACAAAAAAACACACAAAAAGACACAAAGTAATGGTAGCATCTCTAAAAACACAAGAAAAAGCAAGTTGGGTTATTTACTTTTTCGTATTTTCGCTCTTTCGCATTGTAACATTTTAATATTGTAACATTGCCGGTGTTTTTGTATACTTTATTTTTTGTTTGCTTTGCTGCTTTTTTCGCATTTTCTTTTATAATGCGGTTGTATAATTTAACGATTATGCATGTCCATATATTGCATATGTGGTTCATGTCATAGCATAATTGAATAATGGCGACACATTTAACGGATTTAACAGCAAGTTGATTTAGAACTGAAATTACAATTGTTGAAATAATGTTAACATCTTATTTAGTATCATATGTTATGCCACTTTGTAAATTCTATCATCCTCAAACGATGCGTGCTCTTTTACAACCGGAACATGACAATGTATCAAAAAAGTAACAACTGCAAAAAATTGACGATACAAGGATTTGAAACAAGAAAATGTGACAGTTTAAAAAATCGAAAATTTAACTAAGCATCATAAGTGTCGTATCTTCCTGTTTCGCTTTGTTGCATTTTCTCCGGAAAATCAAAGACATAACTGATATTATAAATTCACGGGAACGTAGTAAACAAAACATTTAAACTTTACAACATTTTAGTAAATATAACAATGTAATGCAGTTTTCATTTTTATAAAGTGTGTAAAAATAGAGGTTGAATTTGCCAAAAACAGGCGTGTCAAAAATATAAAACATAGTTATTTTATGTATCGTGTGCTTTTCTGATCTTGTCGTTATTTCGTTTTCTTCACCGCAAAAGTGCGGACATACAAGCAACACTAAGAAACGACACGGTTTAAATTCGATATGTCATTTACCAGCTACCACAAATGATAGTGTGTAAGAATTCGAATTAGCTTTAAATGCCAAATAATTTTTCAGATTTAATAAGTGTAAAGCGAAAACCCTTAAAATATGGTAGTCATCAGGAATAAATTACTTTTCCAAATATATCTACGTTAATATATCCTTTAAACGCATTCTTTATGAAATGCTAAGATTAACTTAAAAATATTTATGTTGTTTACTATTAGTAAAGACAGCTTATTAACATTATCTTTTATGAAAACAATCAAAACATAATCATTTAACTGTTTTGTCAATGAATGTAATTCACAATACGGCGGTCGGGTTATCGCTTTTTAGATCGTCTGAACACGTGCCCAATGTGAGCGTTTGTGATTACAATTTGTATGTCGTCTGATAGCGCATATGTACGTCCGCTGTTAACGTAGTTTTCAAATGATATTTCCCCTGATTCAACTCGCCCAAATTTGATAGTTTTCCCGGTATCTTCCTTGCATAACACTCTACGAAAATCGTTTTTAGCACATGGGTTATATTGCATCCCACAGGAGTCCATTGGCTCATCTTAGATATTTAGCATGCATCATTATTTAGTGAACCTCTATAACATTGGTTCGACTTACAGCCCTTGTGTCATTTCGTTCTGTGCGTTTTCCTATATATGTATATAATTAAAGTTTAACATCAACATTATTTTGCTCTGTCTAGTATACATACATATACCAAGTTTGTTCAAATTATGACCCGGGGACTAAACTGGTTTCATCCCAGGGCGGTCATTTTTTCCTTTATATATAATGTATAGAGTTAAATATTTCTACGTTTAAAAAAACTATGGAGACTAAACCTGCTAAATATTTTGCATGAAAGATTGTGTTATGGACTTCCTGGAAGTATGTTCAAATCATAGCCCTGCCCTCTCGGGCGTCATTAATTTTCCTTATTTTGAACGTAGTTAAAAAAGAGCTTCTTATTTAAAAGCACGAAAGCGAAATCTTAAACCCATATCACAATGGGCTTCGAGTGTGAGTAACACAGCTGCTAACGGCATTCGCGAAATAGTTTAAAAATGTTTCGAAAGTTCTGATTTTTTTCTAGTGTTCTTGTCACTTGAATTATCAACAAAATTCGTGCGACAGACCCCTTATAAGACATATTCTTTAGAATATGCACGGTACGTGGCCCAAAACGTAACAAATACAGCCGTATAAGTTCACCTCAATTTATCTGTGAAGTATGATATAGAATAGAGACAAGCACCTGTTTCACTAAAGCTACATTCAGCGGAAAAGCAAACAAAATAACACATCTGTTCTATGTCATATGGTTACTCTCACTATGTATTATAATGCAATTAATATTTCACCAGTTTGCAAAAGCTTATCAGTCAGTTAAGTCCGTCCGAAAGACATGATCATTTATTTTGTCTTCAACACCTAGTTTGTCGTCATGATGCATATTATAATGGTCATATTGACCTCCTGTTAAAATAATAAGAATTACAAAGGTAGACTAAGTACATATTAAGTATCATTTAATGAATTTTAAATTTAAAGATTACATTTAGGCAGATTATAACCCTAAAATATATGAATGACGACTTGTCCAGGTTATGTACCCTTTGTGCAGGAAACGACTGATACAGACAGACAGATAAGCAGGCGCGGTAAGCAGTGACGTCTAGGCAGACAGACTCTTTTCTTGGCTCCAGCAATTTTTATCATGGCTGCTTTAACTGTTGGTATTGTCTCCGGTTACTATACGTTTAGGTTTTCATTGACCGATATCCAATGACCTGCTGTTGACATAAAATTCATTTCCTTGGCTGATACTCTCTGTAAATTGCACTGAGTGAAATAATCACGTTGTCATTTAAAATTACCCCCTAGGGGTATAAGTTTGACATGCCTGTTATATGTATCTTACAGCGAAATCGGCTTTTTGTGGCATAACAGGTAATTGGAACTCATATAAACATGAATTAAACATGAATTACTACTACTCGCGCTTTAAACCTAGACTTATATCCGTTCAAGCAACATTTGTATTTTCAATATACGACGCCGATGTAAGGACAAAACTCCACCTGCACCAAAGCACCTCCCGTCCTGCAGAAATGATGGAGCTAGTCGTATGCCGCACTCACAAAATATTCCTGCATTAAAGTCAGTACCATATGTGTCAACATTAACGTACATAAACTTGCGTCTACCAGAGCCAGCATGATACTTGATTATAATACTTTGTAATCGAAGTAGACGCCATCTGACACCTGCGGAGCCTTTATGCTTAAATATTGCAATCAATGCTGCAACAAAAGTAATGGAAACTCCATTGTTAGGAGAAACCATGTGCCACCTTTAACTTCTCTCCTGTTGTCAGAAATTTGAACATGACAGTAATCATATACGGCCTGACTTACCTCTCGCACATTTTTAGCAACGGTGATATGGGCCACCCGGAACCAACATGATATCACATGTTCGAATTCCCTTTTGCACGGTGAATGCGAAAGATGGCAAGCCTCAATTCAGTGGACAGCTGATGTTGTTTTTTTCAATTGATGTTTAAGGCCTAAATCATTTATATGTTGAATTATTCCATTAAAGCCGTTCTCTTACCAATACATTTCTCCATTTCATGATTGTCTTCTTCTTCGCTATCTGACTGCTGTCAATGCATTTTATATCGCAGCAGTAGCAATGAGACATCCTGAAAGCAAAGTCGAAAAATAAGCGTCCAGTGGTTGATCCATTTCAATGATGCCTAACCGCTGAAACTCGAATTTTCATTGGGCTTCTATTTTTGTTAGCCTATTCTTATTTCTTTATTGCCTTTCGAAACAGTCATACGATTTTCGCATGAAATTCGCAAATACAAAATTTGGAAATCATGCTAAAATGAAGACAAAAGAATATCGTGCGATCGTCGGGCGATATTCTCGCAACATATTTGAGAACATTTTGATATAGATTACCAATCGCAACTTTACAGCCCTTTCTGTCAGTCTTCGGGTAAGGACCTTGAACACAGTTTATGACCATCTAAAATGAGTAAATTCATAAAAATAAAGGTAAACGATACATTATTTCAAAACTTGTTAGTTTGGTTGTAGAAGCCGAAAGTACAAAATGCAACCATGTTGACCTTTAGTCGGATTCGTTTAAAGTTGTACATAAGTGGGTATATTTAAATTTAAAATGGCTGTCCAACATTTTTTAAATAATTTTTGTACCGGGAAGCCTTT